CCATTAGGGCACTGCAAGAAAACTTATTTTTATCAAGGGAAATAGATACCTCAAGGAGGAATCTACTTTTGTTTTTGTTAGAAGACAACTCCATCACACCTAAGATCTGTCCCCTTAAGGTTCTTAGGTGCGGAATTTTCCGGACGCACTGGGCAATTAGTTATCATATGTCCCTTTCTACCGCAATATAGGCATAACCTCTCCCTTCTCCTATACTGTTTTTCTGCCTCCGACAGTCAAGTGACCCCCAACTGCATAGGTTTGCGTTTGGACTGTACAGGGAGGTTAGACAAACCAGGTTTAGAGAATTGAGGTGCTAGGGACATAGCCGTACGTCTGGTCTTGCTTCTGGTGACTTCTCTGAGTATTAACCTGTTATCAATATGCATGACAAACGTAATAAATTTGTTAAGACTCTTAGGTAATTCTTTAGCGACTATCTCATCTAGTATAGTATCTGAGAGACCCTTTTTGAATGCTGAGATTAACCCATTGTTAGTCCAGTCTACCTCGGAAGCTAAGGTACGGAATTCAATAGCATAATCCGAGATAGACCAGTTACCTTGTCTTGTGCATTAGGGCAGTGGAGGCGTCATCCTCTCTACCCACTGGCTCAAACGTGAGCTTGAATTCAGCAAGGAATTCCTGGTAATTTTGAGCAATGCTCCGATTACTCTCACACAACGGATTAGCCCAGGCAAGGGCCTTGCCCTTTAATTGATTCATTAGATAACCAATTTTTGCTCTGTCCATGGGGAACGACCCTGGTGAGGCCTCAAAATGGTACTCCACCTGATTAAGAAAACCCATGCATTCCTGGATATTGCCATCAAGCTGTAGGGATGGCGATAAGGAGATGCTAGGAGTCCTATTAACAGTGGGTGGAGGTACTCAGGGTAGAGGTGCTATAGGAGGAGACGCTGCAGGCTGCAGATGCGCCGTTCTAGCGAGAAGAGTACTGAAAGCCTGAGCGAATTGATCCATGCGGTGATCATTCTCCTCTAATTTCCTCTCGCAAGCAGCTATGTGCTGACACAGTTCTACAGGATCTATGGCCATGTCGTAATGTCAGGATTACTGTTTGATCCAGCACGTAAAACTGTATAGCACGGATGACAAATAAGTAACATATTACCGGTCCTTAGAATGGCCGGATTTAACGTACATAGAATAGTCAAAAATACTAGCCGAGGTCAGGGAACACAGAAAGGGACGCAGCGATGAGGAAAGCCAGGAGTCAGGATACCAGAATATAGAGAAGTCAAGGAACAAAGCCAAAGTAAAAAAAGAGGTAGAAAACTAATAACAGGAACGCGCTCTCGGACAACCACAAGGGACACCACGACAGGGCACTGAGCAGGATGAGAACTGGGCCTAAATACGCCTCCTTTAGTTCTGATAGGCTGTTACTGGCCTTTGACCCCAAAGTCAGTTACCAGGTTTCATTTGCATAATTGCTGCTCAGCATTAACCCTTCTGTGGATTAGGTTGCTGCTCAGCACAACTTTTCCTGTGTGGACAGTAAATGTCATTAACCACATTTCTATAAGCAGAAGAATATGTGACACCAGGTTTCATTTGCATAATTGCTGCTCAGCATTAACCCTTCTGTGGATTAGGTTGCTGCTCGGCACAACTTTTCCTGTGTGGACAGTAAATGTCATTAACCACATTTCTACAAGCGGATGAATACGTGACAACAAGATAAGTATATTTGCGTCAGATAAGAACAATAGTAGGCCATCCAGAAATGGTGCGGATAACATACTTGATATATATCATATGTTAAACATATGATAAATGGATGTTTTGTTGGGATAGCTTACAAGTAGCATAATATTGGTAAACAGTAATATAACTTAGGTGTTAGTGTGGAGGAAGGATGTTCAGCCATGGAGCACCCTAGCGAAGCTCTTGTGTTTTAGGTTTCCCAGTACTACATCTTTACAGCTAAACCTTTGTTGTTAGATGGTTTACTTCATTCATGGTCCTACACGTCTAATGGGCTGATGATGCAAGCAGAGACAGAAGGCAGAGCCCAATGGGGAAAGGCCTGTACTGCCCTATTTGAAACAATGTGGTGGGACTCGGGTCTGATTAGCGGTTAGGGATTTGTGACCGCTAGTGTGCAGTGCTGTTGTGGTTATGGTTTAAGGGTTAGGTTTACCATGGGAGGCTATTGGTTGTCCGTGAGCGACCACCGAGGGGCACAGTTAGAGACTCCCTTGTGATTGTGAAGTCTCAGCCATAGGGCTAGTAACATGTGGGGGGGGGGGGGCATTCAAAATCAATCTATGACAGTGGTGGCTTGTCGGGGCATAAATATATGCATTATTTGGTATGTTTTTCAAAAAATTTTCAGGGGGGATTATATTATTGTTTTTATGTTAATTCTACATTTTTTACTAAGATTTTGTTGATATATATTGGTGCTTTCCCTGTTTAGGGGAGGTGTTGTCCCTCTTCTCTATTATTCCGATAAGGTCGCAGCTGCATATGAGTGGAGGCAACTTAATTGATTTATGTGTCATGCATAGAAGGGCCCCAGCCCTCCGTCCCCAACCCGAGCACACAAACATCGGCCGCTCGACATGGCTGTCACTATAGTAGGTTGTGATACCCCTGTCACGGTAGTTGTTCCTCTTGAGTATTTGAAACAAGTGGGTGGAAGCAAAAGTGCAAATAAACTGCAGGCAGGCCACATAGGGTGCCATATTCACCAATAAAATTTATATTTACCGCTTTAAACGGAGAAGTTCCCATTTGAAAGAGAAAAATTGAAAATGGATTTCAACAGACTACAAAACCTTAATCAGTCTTTGAGTGGTGATAAAAAAAAGCCAATTACACACTCTCATAATGGAATGAAACAATTAAAATGAATTGAATGTGCAAAATAAGCAAGTTAGCCTCAATAACCTCTTCCTGTTAAACAATGTGATCATTCTGGCTTCAAAAGTTTTTCTTTCTTGGGTAATTTTAAACCCCCTTTCAGTATTTTCAGCCACTCAATGAAGGACCTAAAAAACAAAGTACTGAAAGAAAACCCTTTAAAGCCAGAATGATAAAATTGTTTAACAGCAAGAATAGATGACTAAATATTGATTTGGGCTTCCTGTCCCACTACCAACACTTTACATGAATACTCCCCTAGCATTATCTTACTGTTCTATCACATATATCAACATTTTAAAATGCATTCCAATATGTTTATTCTATCAATATACAAAGTACTGTGTGTAGACCTATGCTCTTATGCATGTATGCTTATGTGTTGCATGTATGCATTTATATTTGTATATATGAGTTCATGTGCATGTATGTATATGTGTTTGTGTGTATGTATATGTGTTCATGTACTTATGTATATGCGTACACATGTATGTATTTGTGTGTGTCAGTATGTATTTAGTGTATATATACATGCATACATGTATGTATATGTGAATAGGTGTATGTGTACATATACATTTATACTGGTCTGTGTATGTGTAGGCACATTGGTATATGTGTAGGTACATGTATTGTTGCTTGTGTCTGGATGTATGTGTAGGTATGCATGTACATATCTTTGGGCATTTGGTTGTATTTATATGTATATTGTATGTACTTGTGTATAGTGTGTATGTTCTTGTACATAGGCACTACTTGTGTACATGTATATGTACATGAGTGTTTAAATGTGTCTGTGTATGCTGGATATAGGTCTTCATGCATATTCTGTAACTCTTGGATGGGAATTCAGGCATTCTGTAAATTAATAATCCCCCCTTCTAGCACCATTTTTTGCACTGTTCGCTTGTTTTTTTTCTCTCTCTCCCCCCTCACTGTGGTCTTCACATAAGATATTTACGACGCTCTGCAAGAATGATGCCTATGTTCTATCAAACCTGTCTTATCTGCACTCATGTCGTTTTAACCCCTGTATCACAACTCAACTTTGAATTCTATGTGTCGTCTTGCTCAGAAATGCTTCCGACTTGAGAAAGGGAGGTTCTCTTGAAAGCACTAAAAGATTCTGTTAGTTCAATAAAAAAGGTATTACAAGATACAAATTTTATCTGTTTTTTACATTTATAAATATTATAAAAAATAACTATTTACTTGCAGCATGACCATCAGGGCACTTTTGATAAAGAGTTTAATAATACCAGAAATTAAGTTTTCAACATTATATTAAATTAGTTATTCAAAATGATACTTGATTTGTGTAGAACACAGACTCTCATCTAAATTTCGCAAAGTGTGAAGATGGAAAAAAAAACAATTGTTACTATCGCACTACATTTGAGTCTCCATCTTCCCAGCCTCAATTTAGCTATTTGACTGTTAGGAGGTGTTTATTTGCTGCTTGTTGCTATGGTACTGCCCCTAAGAGATGTAATGGAGTGACAGTGATGTCATGCACTAACCTCCACAGTTGACGCATGTGCAGCAGTGAATTTCACTGCAGAATTATTCTTACTCTTTTGGCATCACCCTGTGGATATTTCTATTACTTATTAGTGCCTTTGACTTGTTTTCTGATCCAGCATGACTGACTTCTTTCTGGCTTCTGGCTCTAGTTGTATCTGATCCTAGCTACATTTTGGTTTGTGCTTTAATCTGGTACCCTGCACCTTTGCTCAATTAAGACTACCCTCCCCCCTTTAAGGAATACCTTCCACTTCACCTCAGTTGATGTATGTGTTAAACCTGGACAATATAAGCCTAAAATTGGCCTAGCATTAGTGAAAGATATAATATACATTCCTAAGATAAACTTCCTACTCATCAGCTGTATTGGAACTTCCCTCACTCTCAACTGTATTCCTCTTGTCTGCATATATTCTACTAATCTAGCTTATAAGTAAAAATAATGGCTGCCTATGGTTTGATCACAAACATATGGTAAGTGCTGTTGCAGTGTTAGTGTTATACACTCAGACACAACTCCTAAAAAGTAATAGTCAAGAAGCATTGATTGATGTAGGTTTCATACAGGACTACAATGTGCACAATTAAATTGTTACCTGTCCCCCGCCTCCCTTCAAGTCTTTCATGTTTAGTACATTCTTCATTCCTTTTCCTTTTCCTTTTTCTTTTTTACCTTTCTTCTTCTTGCAGCAACATTTCTTACAAATACAGAAGCAGCAGGTGATAATCAGTAGTCCACCTACCACAGCAATGGCTATTAGTGCCCAGGGGGGTACTGTGAATTAGAGAACAAGTAAGAAATGTCAGTTCCAAATTGCAATACTAGATGCATTAATATATTTAGGTGGACCTGTCACATCTAAGGAGTTTTGATGTTGAGAAAAGATTGATGTTTATTCACTGAACAGGAAATTGTGGATAGCTGACAGGGACATAACCATTTTAAGCACATGACAACTTAGATGGAAATAACTCAAGTGAGTATTTTTTTTCAGTATGGCTATTTTACCCTAAAATTTGCTACGATCCCCAATTTCCAGTTTTTGAAATAGACCCTGCTAATATAAGCACTGCAAAAGCTTTAATTTCAAAATCTGATACAGAAATTTGAGAACACCACATGCCCAATGACGGTCACAGGCCCCAGTAAGGTTCACAATGCAACTCTTCAGTGGTTTACTTTCTACATCTGCATGTGTTCTAAATTTCCTGTGACTGTTTGATGTTTTTATTTTTCTCATTGGATTTACCATTAGAAATGGCCTAATGCCAGTCACTGAACAGAAGGTTTCTACACGTCCTATCCTCTTGCCCCACCACCTGTTCATTTGATTCCATTCTTTCTCATCTTATCTATGCTCTTTCTCAAAATGTTCTTCCATCCCTATTCTCTCTCGCTATCTTGCTATCTTCTGGTGTGTATCTAATTTTTTTTTTAATCATGAAACATCAAGCCCATACTAAAACTTCCTTTTTCTACTGTCACATATCAGATATCACTATTCCCCTTCACTTCTGGATTTTCATAACATCTTTATACTTAAAGGACCACTCTAGGCACGCAGACCACTTCAGCTTAATGAAGTGGTCTGGGTGCCAGGTCCAGCTAGGGTTAACCCATTTTTTTTATAAACATAGCAGTTTCAGAGAAACCGGCTGAATGCACACGCAGCTCCTGCCGCGCGCAGCTCCTGCTGCGCGTGCGCATTCAACCGACGGGGAGGAACGGAGGAGGAGAGCTTGGTTCGCTTGGCCCAGCGCTGAAAAAAGGTAAGTTTTCCCCCTTTCAGAGCCGGGCGGGAGGGGGTCCCTGAGGGTGGGGGCACCCTCAGGGCACTATAGTGCCAGGAAAACGAGTATGTTTCCCTGGCACTATAGTGGTCCTTTAACTAACTTGTTAATTTCTACTCCCCTTAAGACCCACTTTAATCTGCTTTAACTCTTTTCACTCCACTAAAACAGACTTTAATAGATTCACTAATGACTTAATCACTCTAAAGCCATTATACTCTTTTATTTCTTTTTGACCTTTATGATGCTTTTGACACCATGTACAACTGAGTCCTTCTTCAAACCCGCAGCAGCATTGGCCTTCTCAACACTGTATTTTCCTTGTTCTAATCCTACATCTCTCAATACTCAGTTGGTGTTAATTTTTCTGGCATCACCTGCCTTGGCTCCATTTTGCTTTCTCTTAATATTACTCTACTGTGAACCTTATTAACTCCTTTTAATGTCAGTACCATCTATACACTGTTGACAGATTTATTCTGCTCCCCTGATTGTCTCTTTCAGCATCCTAAAATGTGTTGTTAATTGCCTCCCTTCTATTGCCTCTCTTCTATTGTGAGCTTCTATATTGCATGAACTGATTTTTAATCTTACTGTAAATACCTTTGTATCTTTCCCTGCAAGTCAATGGAACAACCATTACCGAAAATAATGTGTTTGCTTTGCTTTGGTTATTCAAGAAGTGCCTTAAAACTAATCTAGCTAAAAAAGCTTAGGATCTTACCAGGTAACTTCTTTCTTTACAGCAGTCCACCTTTCATTACACACACTACCTGTGCTTCTACTTCATTCTCTCTCCTTCCACCCTACTGTTTCTGTATACCACCATTTTATCATCATATCTATCTAGGTTTTTATCCTCCCTGTTTGTTAAGTACAGCACTCCTTACTCCTTGTATTTGTCAACAATTATTTTGTTTGTCTGGTGCTATATAAATCGATAATGCAAATATAAAACATAATAATGAAGACATTTCTAAGCTGAGCATTTTTGCAAAACATAAAGGCATCCAAAAATGCAGATTGTTTGTACTTACAGGGGATCTTACTGATCTGATTCATAAGCTCTTGTTGAATCTTTCTGAAGGCATCAGCAGCCTTGTCCCCAGATCCAGCCACTTCTGTTGAGTTGTCATGTGAAACAATTGGAGGCTGCGTAGTATTTCGCACAGCAGCAGCAGATTCATGTTTGCCAAATGGCCAAACCATAGTGACTGTAGTATAACAAAGAAAATAGACATTTTATTGTGAAACTTTTGTCTACAGACAGTAGTTGACTTGAATAAAGTAATTCACAAAGTTCTGAACTAGCTGCTACAGTTCATAATACTCTTAAATCATGTTATTCAAAGGCTAGATTACGCAGACATCATGAAGTTTTCCTACAGCCCCTTGGGTTAAAGGAACACTGAACTGGCCAAATAAAAAACAGTGCACTGTTTGACTCCATTGTTAACTTTTTCCCTCAATTCACTTTCTCTTTTTCTCTATTCTCTTCCTTATTTTCAAGGTTATATTCTTCATACTTTTGGTTTATATTTTATTTTAAAACTTTTTTTAATAAAGGCTCATACTTCATCATAAAGTCAATCCGATACTAACATTCGTATTTCCAAAATATTGCATATATATTTTCTCCAATTTGTCAGACAATCAATCCTCTTCTTCCATAATTTGATACTAACTGTGCATATCAGTTAAATGGACACTATAGTCGCCAGAACAACTACAACTTATTGGATTTCTTCAGGTGAGTAGAATTACTCCCTTCAGGTTTTTGCAAAAAACACTGTCTTTTCAGAGAAAATACAGTGTTTACATTACAACCTAGTGATAACTCCACTAGTCACTCCTCAGATGGCTACTGGAGGTGCTTCTTGGGTCAGCGCCACATACTGTGCAGTACTGCCATTCAATGTCTCCACCCTCTCCATGCAGACACTGAACTTTCCTCATAGAGATGCATTGACTCAATTGATTATTTATTTATAAAATATTTTAACAGGAAGGATACATTGATTTTCTCTTGTTTTCAAGTATGTCCTGGGTCCACAAAACATTGCATTGATACCACAGGGTACAATAAAATACAAAAACAATATTAATACAAAATATATACAAAAGTTAACATAAAACAGGTAAGAAATATATAATCAACCATGACAGGTACATTCTGTTTTGAGATATGTAGAGAGGGATCTCTTAAAGGATTTTAGGCTTGGGGAAGATTTGAAAGTGTGCGCGAGGTCATTTCATAATTGTGATGCTCTGTAGTATAATGAGGATCGAGACACTTTCTTTTTGTGTTGAGGTATACTATATAATTGGAGGTTATATGAGGTGGGAACAGCCGGTGAGAGCATTCTGCTCAGGTAGGGTGGGAGCTGCCCAGAATTGCTCTTAAACACAAGGCTGGAAAGATGAAAGGTGCGTCTGGATTCCAGTGACAGACAGTTTAGTTCTTTTAGCATGTCACAATGGTGGGTCCTGTAATCACATTGTAGCACAAAGCGGCAGAACAAGTTATACAACGTTTTAAGCTTATTAAGGTGAGTTTGTGGTGCAGGTGCATATACTACATCCCCATAATCAATGATTGGCATCAGCATTTGCTGTACACTCTTTTCCTTTACTGTAGGGTTTAGGCAGGATTTGTTTCTGTACAAGGCACCTAGTTTTGGAAAAGCTTTTGATGCAAGCTTTTTTTTATGTGGAGGTCAAAAGATAGATTGGGGTCTAACAACATACCCAAGTATTTGAAAGAGTGGAGTTCTATTTGATTTTGTTTTGATGCATAGATGGGAATTTTGTGGTAGGTACTGTACCAAAGATCATTGTGACAGTGTTGTCAGTGTTTAGGAAAAGTTTGTTTTTTGTGATTCACTTTTCTACCTCTGTGAACTGGCACAGCCTCAAGCTGCGGTAGATGGGGTTTGCGTGCATAGATTACTGTGTCGTCTGCGTACATGTGTACATTTGAAGATTCTGCAGACATTAGGGAAATCATTTATAAATAATGTGAATAGTAGGGGGCCGAGAATGGAATCTTGGGGAACACCAGACTGGGAGAGGGAGAGAGTAACTCTCAGAAATCTGCACATATTGTGATCGGTCCGATACATATGATTGATACCAGGTTGATACCGGAGTTTTTTAGTTTTTGCAGTACGATGTCGTGGTCTACTGTGTCAGCCTTAGCAAAATCAAGGAAAATAGCTTCAGTGAGGTCTCCTTGTTCCATGCCCGTTTGGATGTCATTGCAAACTTTTAAGAGGGCAGTTGTAATTCGGTGATTTGGGCGAAAACCTGATTGATCAGTCGTCAGATAGTTTGATTGTTGGTAATACTCACATAGTTGCGTATGGACGCATTTTTCTACGATTTTTGATAATACTGGGAGCATAGATATTGGGCCATAGTTAGAAACCAAAGTAGTGTCACCACTTTTATGGATAGACACTACTCTCGCAGTCTTCCAAAGTTTGGGTATGTATCCAGACACCAAGGATTCGTTAATTAGGGTTGTGACAGGTTTAGCAATTGCCGGCACAATGAGCTTCAACAGTATTGCTGGGATTTGATCAGGTCCAGACTGGTTATTCATTTTTAGATTATTAGGGTGTTTCTTAATGACACTAATAGGTACAGGTCTAAAATTTAAATTCTCTATATTGAGTCTTTGCAAACTTAGTGGTGCTTGATCCATATTTGTAGTTTCAGTCAATGGATCTCTATGAGGAGATGCTGATTGGCCAAGGCTGTGTTTGACTTGTGCTGGCTCTGCCCCGATCGGTCTCCTTGACAGTCCCAGCCAATCCTATGGGAAAGCATTGTGATTGGCTCACATAATCACATCTGATGATTACAGGCATTCAGGTAGATATGGGGCAGGGGCAGCATCTGCATACTTGAATACAAGTAAGAGTTTACGATATTTAGAGAGGCAAGGAGGGGCTGGGGGTTAGATGGTGGCTTAACACTAAAAGGTCAGAAATACATGTTTAAGTGTTCCTTTAAAAAATGTTTATTTTTTTTTTTTTTTTTGATCTATAAAAGAAACTATAAGCACACAAAAGTCTGAGTGCAAATATTAATACACATACACACACATGAATACAGATCAGAACAGTCCATTAAACTCCTTATCCATTTTCTACAAAAAAAACTACTTCCTTTGGTATGGTACACGAGGCAAGATAAAGAATGTTTGCATTGTATGGTGTGATATATGATTTTAGATTGTAAATAAACACTTTCCAGATGGGCCTGCCTATTATGTGTGCCATGTGTGTGTCAATTGCATAACTTGCGACACCCTCTTAAATACCCTCTCACCTATCCCATTTCTATATTTGGAGGTAAGGGAGTGTAAAACTAGGTTTGTGAGGGGATTTGTGACTTTTGGAGGACCTGAGTGCACTAGTCTGCAGCTCTGCTGGGTCCTGTAGGTTCCTCTCATAAGGTCGGAGTATTGCCATGGTTACCATGGCAACTCTCTGACAGGCCAGATTTTGCGAGTGTGAACTCTATCTGGAAGAGCTGCCGGCTAGAGTTCACTCACCAGCGGACCACCTGGCTTGCTATGTGCCCCCAGCTGAGCCAAAGGTAAGAAGATAGGGGGAATATTTATATTTTTTTTATTTAAAAAACCCACACAATATCTCACAACATATTGCAACACTCACATATATTGAACCCCTCACACAAACACACATTGCACCTCTCACACATACACAAACTGCATCCCTCAGACACATTGTACCCCCCCCACACACACTGTACCCGTAACGCACCTTTTACATCTCACACAAACACTGCACTCCTTTACAGACACCCTATTGCATCCCTCACCCACTCTGCACTCCTAACACATGCACATTGCATCCCTAACACACATTTAATTCCTCACAGACGGCACTCTGACCAAGTACTGGAGGTGTCCCCTAAGGAGACAGGGATCAAGTACAGCAGCCACCTCATACTTCTCCTTGACTTCAACAGAGACAGAAAAAGGAGGAGAATCAGGCTTGGTGAATCGGTTACAAAGAAGTAGTTTCAAAAAAGAGGTGTGGAAAACATTGGGCATAGGCATGTTCCTAGGAAGATCCAAGGCATAAGAAATGGCATTAACTCTGTGCAAGATGCGGAACGGACCAATATATTGAGGAGCCAACTTCATAGAAGGAACTCGGAACCGGTGCCTAACAGCCTGTACCTTTAGACGAGCAGCAGAATCCACCAGAGAACGCTGAACTTGTTCCCAAGCCTTATGCAAACCAACTTAATGTTCATCCAGAACTGGCATACCCCATAAAGAAAATGCAGATGGGAGAACAACCAGATGCCGGCCATAAACAACACAAAAAGGACTGTTACCGGAAGACTCCTGAGCTGCATTATTATGAGCAATTTCAGCCCAATGGAGCAGGTCAGCCCAATCATTCTGATGGTGGGAAACAAAACAGCACATTCAGCAGCTCCATTAGTCTGGGGGTGGTAGGCAGAGGTAAAGGACAGAGCAATACCTATCTCCGAGCAAAAGGCTCTCCAGAACCGGGAAATTAACTGACTACCCCTATCAGAAACTATGGAATCAGGTATGCTATTTAATCTAAATATCTTGCTTGAGAAAATAGCAGCCAAATCTTTGGAAGACGGTAATTTGACAAGTGAAACAAAATGACCCATCTTAGAGAATCTATCAACTATCAAAGGGATGACCGTTTTACCATTGGAAGGAGGAAGGTCAACAATAAAATCCATAGATAAATTAGACCAAGGTCTCCCAGGTATAGGTAAAGGTTGCAATAAACCACAAGGAACCCTATGGGAGGACTTCATGCTAGCACAAGTGAACCAAGCTTGTACGTAATCGGTGATGTCCTTGTGCATAAAGGGCCACTAGAAGTTCAGTGAAACTGCAATTACAGTTTTAGAGATGCCAGGATGCCTGGCTGTCTTAGTATCATGATAGCATGACAGCATGTCTTTCAGTGAGAGCAAAATATAACTTATCAACAGGTTTTTACTTTGGTGGCTAGGTTTGTATAATTTGTAGAACAGAAGAAGAAATAGAGAGAAGAGTAGCAGCAACTATCCTGTCAGGCAGTAGGACAGAAGTGAGATCAAATTCTTGTTTATCAGTTGCTTCAAACTGCCTAGACAGAGCATCTGCTGTGTTGTTGCGGTCATCTGGTCTATAGCTGATGACATAATTGATTGTGATAAAAACAGAGACCACCTAGCCTGTCTAAAAGACAACCTCTTAGCTTTGCTTAAATACGAAATATTCTTATGATCTGTTAAAATGATAACAGGATCATTAGAACCTTCCAGGAGATGTCTCCAATCTTTGAGTGCTACGATCAGGGCTGGACTGGGAAAGAAACTTGGCCTGGGCATTTTTGAGTCACAGCGGCCCACTGTGAAGGGGCCGCGGCCAGAGAGGGGGTGTTATGTTTTCACCAATGACACGTACGCCCCCTCTCGAAGTGAGCATGTTGGTTCAATGCTCTTGAAGGGTGCAATGTGTGTATGTGAGAAGTGAAGTGTGTGTGTATGTGTGGGAGGGTTGCAGTGTGTGTGTGTGTGTGTGAGGGGTGCACTGTGCGTGAAGGCTGCAGTCAGGAGTGTAACTAGAAACCATGGGGCCCCGGTATGAAAATTGCCCTGGGTCTCCCCCCCCCATACATCAACCCACTTCCCCCCCGTCACCCTCCTCCCATACGTCTATTTAGCTCCCATACGTTGTTCCCTCCCCCCACACATGCAAACAGATACACATGTAGACACATATATGTTCCCACTCTGACTCCTCTCCTTCCTCCCACACGGCTCCCAGTGGTTGCTGGGAGGAAGTGACCGGGGAAGTCACTTCCTCCCAGCCTCTGACATCATCAGAGAGGGCCTGGTCGCGCTGTAAAAGCGCTGACCGTTCCCCCTGGAATTACAGTTACACAGCTGCGACCCCTGCAACCGCGGTAGTTCCGCCACTGGCTGCAGTGTGTATGAAAGGCGCAGTGTGTATGAAAGGTGCAGCGTGTATAAATGGTGCACTCTGTGTATTAAAGGTGCAGTGTGTATGTGTTTGTGTGAAGGGTGCAGTGTCTGAGTGCAGTGTGTGTGTGGTGAAGAGTGCAGTGAGTGAGGAGTGCAGTATGTGAAGGGTGTAGTTAGTGTGTTTGTGTGTGTGTGTGTTTGGTGTGCAGTGGAAGGAAGAGGAGTGCAGTGTGTGTGGGTATGTGAGGGGCATAGTGTGTATGAAGGATGTAGTGTGTGAGGTGTGCAGTGTGTGTAAGGTGACGTGTGTATGAAGGGTGCAGTGTGTATATGTCTGTGTGAAGAGTACAGTGTGTGAGTGCAGTGTGTGTGTTTGGTGTGCAGTGGGGGGAGTGCAGTGTGTGTGTGTGTGTGTGTGTGTGAGGGGTGCAGTGTGAGGCTGTGTGTGAGAGGTGAAGTGTGTGTGTGAAAGGTGCAGTGTGTATGAAGGGTACAGTGTGTATGAAAGGTGCAGTGTGTGAGTGAAGTGTGCAGTGTGTCAGGAGTGAAGGGTGTGTGTGTGTGTGTGTGTGTGTGTGGTGTGCAGTAGAGGGAATATGTAAGTAATGCATTAATGTTTTTTATTTTTTTTCATTTAAACAAAATTTATACTTTATAGCCCCACTTCTTACCTTTGCCTGGCAGGGGTGACATACAGTGCCTTGCAAAAGTATTCACCCCCTAAACTTTCTACCTATTTTGTTACATTATAGCCTTAAGTTCAATGTTTTATTAATCTGAATTTTATGTGATAGATCAGAACACAATAGTCTAAGTTGATGAAGTGAAATGAGAAAAATATATACATAAAAAATTGGCATGTGCGTATGTATTCAACCCCTTTGTTATGAAGCCCATAAAAAGCTCTGGTGCAACCAATTACCTTCAAAAGTCACATAATTAGTGAAATGATGTCCACCTGTGTGCAATCTAAGTGTCACATGATCTGTCATTACATATACACACCTTTTTTGAAAGGCCCCAGAGGCTGCAACACCTACAAGATGCACCACTAACCAAACACTGCCATGAAGACCAAGGAACTCTCCAATCAAGTAAGGGACAATGTCTGTGATGACTCCTTAATTCAGAGATTTCTTTGAAATAGTGATGCTCCGTAGTACAGATGGATATATGCAAGAACAAAGGAAAAAATCCATAAATTAATTAATCTTGGTATTGGCAAAAATTGATGAGATGCAATCGTAATAAAATAGAAACGACTTTATTGGAGTCTTAGCGCTCAACTATAAAAACAATGTACAATTCCACAGTAAAATATTCAAATGAAATGCTGCATTTGCAGACCTCATTTAAGAGTGTCTGCACGCTGATTCACAAAGTGCATACTAGGTGCCGACCTTA